CGGAGAAAGCCATCAATAGTGTCGATAGCCAGCGCGGGTGGGATGGAGGTGAATAATGAGATCACGTCGAATGACACCATCACCTCATCTGCCTCCACCTCGAGATGTTTGATGCGCGTCAAGAACTCTTCAGCCGACTTCACTGTCCACTCCGAATCCTTGGTAAGGAAACAAAGTCGCTGGTACAGCCACTTTGACAGCCCAAAGGTTGGAGTACCACGTAAGGAGACGATGGGGCGTAGCGGCACCCCCTGCTTGTGGACCTTTGGTAGGCCGTAGAAGCGCGCCATCGCGGTATCACTGGCTTTTGCGGCCAACGCTTCCCTTCTCGTAAGAGCTCCCGCCTTCCTCAGCTTGCCGATCGTATTGTTTATGCTGTTTACGAGCTTCTTAAACTCGCTGACGGTCGATGGCGCATAAGATTCCTTGTCCATCAAGAGGTTGCCTAGTTTTGTAAAGTACTCAGCCTTATCCATGACGACAGTCGAGCGCCCCTTGTCGGCGGGCAGGGTGACGATATCCTTCATTTTTCGTATCTTCAGAAGTTCTCGATCTTCTGCTTTAGAAATCGTCATCTGGCGTTTGTGTTGGAGGAGTAAGGTCGACACTTGTTGTCGCATGGCGTTTTTGCACTCCTCGTCTGCCTCACACTTCTGGAGCGCCGATTCGAAGGATGCAATAAAGTCTTCTGGTTGAGCATCTCTTGTGCTGAACTTCGCGTCATAGGATAGAACCGCTAGTTGTTGCTGAGTGAAACGATGAGAGGACAAGTTGTGAACCAAGGCACCGTCAGCAGAGGGCTGTTTTGGCGGACTTATTTTCTCAAATTTTCCAGCGCGCTTCTACGGCCTACCAAAGGTCCACAAGCAGGGGGTGCCGCTACGCCCCATCGTCTCCTTACGTGGTACTCCAACCTTTGGGCTGTCAAAGTGGCTGTACCAGCGACTTTGTTTCCTTACCAAGGATTCGGAGTGGACAGTGAAGTCGGCTGAAGAGTTCTTGACGCGCATCAAACATCTCGAGGTGGAGGCAGATGAGGTGATGGTGTCATTCGACGTGATCTCATTATTCACCTCCATCCCACCCGCGCTGGCTATCGACACTATTGATGGCTTTCTCCGCGAAAAGTATGATGAGACCGACCAACAGCTCAAACGAGCACACATCATCGAGCTCCTAGAACTGTGTCTTAAGACCTTCTTTACATTCAACGGCCAAGTCTACGAGCAAAAGAAGGGGACACCGATGGGCTCGCCTCTGTCTGGACTAATTGCCGAAGCAGTTTTGCAGAGACTCGAGCAGCAGGTCTTCAGCTCGTACCCCCCGAAGTTCTGGGCCAGATACGTCGACGACACGTTCGTTGTAATCAAGAGGAGCGAGGTGAAGGCTTTCAAGACATTGTTGAACTCAATCTTCGCCGACATTCAGTTTACTATGGAAGAGGAAGTAAACAATCAGTTGCCCTTCCTGGACGTACAAGTTACGAGATTGTCAGACGGGAAGATAAGGACAACGGTTTACCGTAAGGCAACAAATACTAGGCGCATCCTCCACTTCCGAAGCAACCACCCCGTTGGTCATAAACGCAGTTGTGTCAGAACTCTCTTTCAACGTGTTCAAACACACTGTAGCGACGACAGTGGGAGGAAGGCGGAGATGAATTACTTACAGGGCCTTTTTAAAGCCAACGGCTACCCGAAGTCCTTCATACGCAATTGCCTCAAAAAGCCTCATTTTGAGCGGTCAAGTGGAGAAAAGCCCAAGTTCTGGCTCTCAATACCCTATGTGAAGAACGTATCAGAGGCAACGGCAAGAATCCTAAAACCTTTTGGGATTGGCGTGGCTCATAAACCAGAATATACCATCAGACAGCAAATCATGAAGCCCAAGGACCCGCTACCAACAACAGAACAGTCGGCGGTGGTCTACAGCATACCATGTCTAGATTGCAATGCAAGGTATGTTGGTGAAACGGGCAAACGCCTCGGCACAAGATTGCACGAACACCAACTTGCAATCAACCGCAAGGACAAGCTGTCTTTGGTCTATGGCCACATACGAGAACTGAACCACAATTTTGCCTTTGAGAAAGCGAGGGTAATTGGTCGAGCCAATGAGAAGATGGCCAGACTGGTGCTCGAAAGTTGGTCCTCGACTGGTACACTCAACCGAGCTATAGATCTACATCCCGCCTACCAAGCAGTGCGTACAAGGCTCGGATCAGTCCGGACAGGACCAGTAAGGCAAACGAGCACGCGGGACCGAGAGTCAACGCTCACGGAAAAAAGCGGAATTGGGGCCCAGAGGTCATGTGACCAAAGCCGAACACTGTCTCACCGATGCACCCGCGAAGCTGAATGCTGCTCACCTGAACAGCAACGACCGATCAGTCCACCGGCTGACGTGGGAGGGGCCAAGCGGCACGTTGATTTGACCACAACTAGGCCGACCCCAAAGGGAACAAAGGTCACGCAGGCCTATCAGCGGTCAGCTCCGGGGAGGTCTAAGCCAGTCAGCGGCAAACAGGCAGGTCAAAGTTCATGCGTCCAGCACGGCTATAATACGAGGCAAGCGGCAAGACTGAATAACTCAAGACCCGCAAGTGCAACAATTACGCTACTCTGATGATGGAAACGAGGAAGTTTCCGAAACGTCAGTTCGGATACAATATGGTCCATGGATTCGCCCTCTCTTCTTCTTCGTCTTCTTCGGGAGATGATGAACGCGATACAATGTCTGGACCTCGAATCTTTACGCATATCGATAGATAGATATGAACAGAACCTGAAACAGTACCGTAAAGCACAGCTCTAGGTATCCGATGAGGGACCTTAGGGCAAGAGCCCTTCACTACCCCTTGATTGTGGCTGACTAAGTGGGGCCTAGTTTATTTGGCGTGGGACTTTTGGTGTCAGATCTTCCAATAGCGTCTGCATGATATCCGGTTTGCGCATTTACTATGGTCACTAACAAGAACTACCGTTATCAACGGTTAACTGCCAAAAAACTGATGAAGTTAATAAGGTGATTAAAGGAAAATTTTCAGGCTGTCAGCTAAAAATATTTTAAGTAAGAGCCGAATGGCTAACTAGACAGACTGACCTTAAAAACTCATTTATTTTTTTGTATTTTCAAGAAGTCTAGTTTGAGTGAGTGTATTCTGTATATCGTGCCTTTTATTAACGTTGAAGAGAAAATCGGGTAAAAATGGGAGGGACCATGCATGCCTCATGTCGGCGCAAACGAAAGTCGAGTTTCAGAAAGCAATCGCGGTGATCCGATCGCCTCGAGGGAGTATTTTTTCGGTCCAGTAGAAGATTCCAGACATTTCTTATTGTGACAGTGGGTCTGTTAGTCGCCCCGTTTAACAACTTCTGCTTGACTCCGATCTTTTTAGTCTTAAATCCAAGTGACCAAGGCAGGGTGCTGACGTTTTCCCAGAATTTCTTGAAAGGTAGAGAGTACTTGAGAAATTATGGGGCCGGCTTATTTTGGTTTTTCGTTTCGTTCGGTAGTTCATCAGCTGGCAAACTTGCACAAGCAGTCATTAACCGTGAGAACCTGTTGAAAATATTACGATCTGGCAGTCACGTCCTCCAGTTCACCCAGTTCGCCTCATCATTACGACATCACGTTTTGCTTGTGTCTAATTGTGTGGTTGTTGCTGAATCTGGAGTGCTTGCGTCTTCATTGTCGTTTTCATAAGCACGGATGTTTAGGCGGTCACAGCCGTTGCGACAAAAAATATCAGAAGGTCACCTGGAGGTCTTCTGTCTTTAAAATCGTTTATATGATGGCGGGAGAATTAGCCTTGAGGTGTTCTTTATGCGACAACATTAATCTTCTCGATAACGGTGTGGATATCAACCAAATATTGAGACTAGTCCTTCCAACATCAAAAGAACACTGACTTCGGTCGTTGTACATGTGCCTTCACTATGGACTCGGAAAGTGCTGCATATGCCATCATGTTTTTCACTTAACCATCGATTGTTCTGTCTAAATGAAAAAGTGGTAGGACGCTAGAAGATGGTGCATTTGACCGCATTCGCGGTAATACTTTGTTTTGGCATGTCTGCTTTGAAGTCGTAATCCAAAGGTCTAGATTATCAGGTTCTGGGTAATATAAGAAATGATGGATGTTACACCATAAGATGTCATAATTCCTTCACGAACTGACTGTTCTGTCCGAATCAGCAGTCCGAAATGCAAGACACTGGAGGAATCACTTAACGTCTTTGCAAATATGAGGGCTTTCGGCTGAAATAACGGACGAAAGAAAGATCTCCTTCAGGTTATATAACGAAATCCAACAAATCACTTATCTAGGGCGTTCACCATGTGTTTCTCAGTTGCAGATAATCCGCTGGAGTTCTTCACTGACAACGATGTCACGTCTATTTACCACGTCAGCTCTTCCACAAGGTCGGATGCGCTTAAGACATATAGGTGATCATCCCAAAAATGCCTTGTCTTTAGAAAGGAGGTTGTCTAATCTAAAATAGCAGCGCACGATATGGAGAGGACAGGTTTGTAGGCTTTAAGTTCCATTAGTGCACCGCAGTCAGCCCCGAGGAGATCCTTACATGGTCTATGACCCATTGGAAAGGACGATAGTCGATGTTGCTTTCGAGTGTCTCAGTTGTTGTGCATTGTATCATTAATGCGTCTGAAGGCTCAGTGCATCAGAGCCATGTCTTTGGGTACGAAAACGTTTTCCTCGCCCCGGGACGATTCTCAGCCTCCATTAAACGGCATTTTTCGTGCTCCATTTAACGACTTTAGTTTTCTCAATAATACTGTTCATCAGCCCAATTTCCACTTACCGTTTTGGCACGCAAATCTTCAGAACAGTTCTGCACAATCAAAAAGTGTTCCTTAAGGAACATCTATTGTCCGCTGCAGAGCCCTTGATGACCTTATTTATGTACAATAATCTCGCATATCCACACTTTGAATATATTTGCTAGCATTTTGAATGTGGTCGCTTCCCAGTAGAAAATAACTTTGAAAGATCAATGTTGCTGTGCACTGTGACTCAGTACGGAGAGATTGTGGAACAGTGTTTGACAAAGCCGGTCATAATTGACAATGTTGTGAAAGACAATATTTGTCAAGTTTTCTTTAAAAAATTTAATGAAGTTTGCCGTCACAACCTAATTTGATAGCAAGTTGCAGGGTCGGGGTACGCCTTGGCTGAAAGAAAAATCTCTCCGATTCCGCTGTAGTCAATAATGCTGTTCCCCATGGTTCAGCACTGGAACCCAACTTATTTCTAATATACGTCGACGATTACGCAAGACTTTTGGACTGCAAAGCAACAATGTTTACTGACAACATGAAGATATCGAGTGTAACCCAGGTCCCTGACGACAGTGGCAGACTGCAAATGAAACTTAATCGTTTGGAGAAGTGGTCTGAACGTTGGCTCATACAGTCCAGCCTCGGTTAGTATACTGTACTTCGCCTAGACAACCCAGCCAAGTCCGTCAGTACAAGAAACCTTTTTCTGTGCGCTGCAACTTTACGGAACATGGAAACCCAAAGGGACATTGGAGTGCTGACAACGAACTCCAGTAAACCATCCACTCATTCTTCTAGAGCCGCCAAAAGCGCAATGACCGTGTTGCACGCCATCAGGAGGGCATTTATACATTTTGATGAAGTCCTCTTTTCTGATATCTTTTGAACACTCATGAGGACGCATTTAGAATACGAAATATGTGACTGAAGACTGTGAGCGGTTCAAGGTCAAAATAGTCTTGAAGGAGTCCAGATGAGGGTTGTGAAAATGATTAGGGGTCAAATCTCCTTTGCTTTTGCAACCCACCTGACCAATTTGAACCTCTTCCAATTGGTTTGTAGGCAAATGCTTCGGGATCTCTTGCAAGCATTCGGCATTGTGAAGAGAATGAACTGCCGCCTGGCCTTTGAGGTGTGACGGCCTACGGGGACTGAGTAACAGGTGTCTCAATAATCATCTCGCAGACGTCACACGTCAAACACTAGTAGAATACGTTCTGAATAGGATAAAAATTCAGTTAAGTTCAGTTGAGTTTATTGAGGGAAATAGGCGTAAGTCTTTGAGTACCCTATTTTCAATGTGAGAGTGTGTGGTGTACAGAAAAATGCTCTGTATTGAAATAGTTTAAACGAGCCCATAATGGTAGGACAAAATGGGAACGAGTTACAGCGCGTGAGCTTCACTTCTTATCGCTCTTGGTCATTTAGGAAAATAAAAATGTCAAGGGTTTTTTCAAAACTTTGTATTGACGGTGATAGAACAACATCTACGGGTAGGACATTCCACGGTCTGAGCGCCCGCACAGAGAAGGAGATTTTCCGCACATCCAGCCTTACCTGCTGAATGCGCAGATTTAACGGGTGACCTCGGAGGTTGGTCGTGGTAGCAAATTCAAAACCGTCCTCGAAGGCCAGGCTGAAATCCCACCCCTTTACAATGCGGAATGCTTTCAAGAGATCTCCGCGAGGTTGCCTATAACTGAAAGGGAAGAGGTCCTGATTTAATATGCGGGTTGCATAAGGAAAAGAGCTTTGACATACAACCATCTTCGTGGCTCTCCTCTGAACACTTTCGAGGCCGTTTTGATACTCAGCCGACCACGATTTCCAGGCTTTATGCCGTACTCCAAATGCAGCTGGAGGAATGTACCGAAATTCTTTGAGGAAGCGTCTTCGTCAAGATCTATAAACGCACGCTTGATTTCGCACAGTACGGACGTTGCGATTTTTGCCACTCTCGAACAATGAGCGGATGGCTTTAGGGAACTCGTCGTCAGCACACCGAGGTCCTTTTGGACTTCGACCTCTCAGAGGGCTGCCGACGGGTCTGGCTGTGTAGCCTAGACGACGTATGCTACATTTGCCAACGTTGAACCGCAGGAGCCAATGGCTTGACCACTCTTCCAGCTGGTTTAGGTTCACCTGCAGTCTGTCTTCGTCGGCAGGGTCCTGAATTACACTCCACATCTTCATGTCACCGGCAAACATTGCTATTTCGCAGTCTAAAGCTCTTGCGACATCATCCACGTATATAAGTAACAAAATGAGTCCCAATACTGGACCCTGGGGAACACCGCTCTGGATAATAGCAGGATCTGATTTCCGTTGACCGATGCACACAACCTGGTGTTGATCTAAAAGGAAGTTTTCGATCCATTTAAGGAAGTCGTCATTGATCCCTATTTTATAGTTTGTGTAACAGCCTCTGATGTGTCACAGTCTCGAACCTCTCTGGAAGTCGAAGAAGGCTATGTGGACCGCGTGCCTGTCATCGAGAGCTCGGATCCAGCTATGGAGAGATTGAAGCAAGTTTTTCGTGCAGGATTTTCCTTTTCAGAACCAATATGGGCATTTCGATAGCAAGCCGTGAACTTCCGGGAAATGCGTCAGCTCACGCATTGTGATCCTTTCCATAACTATGCAGAGAATACATGTCACGCTTATGGGTCTGTTGTTTGTAGTCAATGCTCTGCAACTTCCTTTGTGTAGCGGAGTAATATGCGCCAACTTCCAATCGATAGGAAGTGTTTGAAAGAGCAGCGACAAAGGCACAGAAAGCTCACTGGCAAGTTCGTTGCGAAGTTTGGGCGGAATCTCGTCTG